GGGGGGGAGGGGCTAGACCCCCCTCATCGATCGGCCCCAATGAATCGATCAGCCTAATACTACTGTATGGGTCGGTTGGCGCAACTGGCGCGCACTGTAGCTCGCGAATGGGCCGGCCCATGAACAGAAGGGGCAGTGCAAAAATGTATTTGTCAGGAAAAAACAAACGCAAACGATGCTCCCGTGAGGATTCGAACCCACACCATTAAGCTCCTATGCATGGTTGGCTAACCACTAGACCAATACAACCTTTCCGAAAAGATTGCAACGCCGAAAAGTCTAACAACTACTCCCTCCGTTTCTAAATATTTGTCTATTTTAAATGACTACTACATACATATGTAGACATATTTTAAAGTATAGATTCACTCATTTTTCTCCGTATGTACTCACTTGTTGAAATACCTAGAAAGACAAGTATTTAGGAACGGAGGGAGTATATTTTAGCCGCGCTCTTGAGAAAAATGGAATTTCTTTTGAAAAGAAATCTGAACAAATTTCGAATGTCCACATATTTTAAAAAACATCAAGAATTAAAAAAAGTTCATGTATTCAAAAAACATTGACAAATTCAAAAAGTTCATTGAAATTGGAAAAGGTTCATCGATTTTCAAGAAAGTTCATAAATTTTGAAAAAGTTCATCGATTTTGAAAAAACATTCATCGACTTTGAAAAAAGTTCATTGATTTTGAAAAAAGTTCATCGAATTTGAAAAAATGTTCATCAAATTTGCAAAAACTTCATTGATTTTGGAAAAAGTTCATCAATTTCAATAAAAGTTCATGGAATTTGAAAAAAGTTCATCAAAATTTGAAAAAAAATCATCAAAAATGAAAAATAGTTCACTGAATTTGAAAAAAAGTTCATTGAATTTGAAAAAAGTTCATCGAAATTGGAAAAAAATTAATGGAATTTCAAAAAAGTTCATCAAAATTTGAAAAAGTTCATCGAATTTGGAAAACAGTTCACCGAATTTGACAAAGCCAACTCATTGAATTTGAAAAAGTTCATCAAAAATTGAAAAACGTTCATCAATTTTGCAGAAAAAAATCATGAAGAAAGAAAGTTTCTCGAATTAGAAAAATAAAGAATAAAAGAACATAAAAAAGAAAAAAAAGAAAGGAAGAAGAAGAAAAGAAGGCAAAACATATACGTAATCACAACATGAGAAGTGGTCTGGTGGTTGTCCCGACTTACACTTGCCAGCTCGTCGCGGGTTCAAATCCCAGATCTTGCCCTGTTTTTGCTTCTTATTATACTCACTGCCAAATCCATGATTCCAGCTTCTCATACTCACTGCCAGCTTCTCTCGCGGAGCTAGGTGTGTTCGGCTGCGGAAAATTCTTCTTAGATCCGTGGAAGTGAAGATGGGCTGCATGTGCTGGGCTTAAGGCCCAATTCTTTGAAAAAGGCAGCAGCCCACGGCGTAGTTTGGCTGGGAGAACGTGGGGCGAGGCATCGTTCGACTGGTCTTTCTAATTGAGCAAACCGTTATTCATTTGGCGGCGGCAATCCTGCTGTAATTTTGTCAAACTTCTACTTCGCTGTTTCTGGAAGCTGCACTTCTGCTGCTCCGTGATTTTACACTGGAGAGGGATCGTCTCCGCGGAGCTGGCTTCCTGGAGCTGGCGCGTTCGGTCTGGCTCCTCGCGCGGAGCAGGAGAAGCACGGATTTGGAGAAGTCAGATGAGTTTCGAACGGGCTCTTAGAAACAGAAAAATGGGTCGGCCCAGACGTGACGAGGGGTGTGCGCCCGTTAGTAGAGTGAACAATATCGGGCGCAAAAGGCGCCGAATAGGATTTGGCTCCACTAATGGCCAATGGTACTTAATTACTCCTGTAAAAAAAGTACATTAAGGCCAAAAAACGTCCGTAGCCTGTACGTACCGAAGCCCACAACAGAGCCCATATTATTAGGCGATGGTGAATTGTGACCTAGCGCAAGCTGTTCAGATCGATCACCGATTCTGCTTGTGCGCCGCTCCCTGCTATGCTCGTCACCAGCCGTCGCGGCGCCATCTATCCAAGCCCGTTGGCCTTGCCTTTGCCTGAGTAGATCCTGCCGGGATGAGGAGACGCCGACGTCCATGCTATGGGGCACCCATCGATGAGCTTATTTATTCCTCAAGCAATCAGGTACCACATCCAGGGTAGTTATTTTCTAATGGATTTCACAGTTGTTGTCTAATTAACTAGTGCTTCTTGATTCTGTCTAATTAACTAGTTTACCACACGGCGCAAACTAATCAATACTGCTTCACTTGGATTTGTACGCCACTTTATTAATTTACATATTAGATGCGTTTTTTGCTTCTTAGAAACAGAAAAATGGGCCGGCCCAGACGTGACGAGGGGTGTGTGCCCGTTAGTAGAATGAACAGTATCGGGCGCAAAAGGCGCCGAATAGGATTTGGCTCCGCTAATGGCCAATGGTACTTAATTACTCCTGTAAAAAAAGTACATTAAGGCCCAGAAACATCCGTAGCGTGTACGTACCGAAGCCCACAACAGAGCCCATATTATTAGGCGATGGTGAATTGTGACCTAGCGCAAGCTGTTCAGATCGATCACTGATTCTGCTTGTGCGCCGCTCCCTGCTATGCTCGTCACCAGCCGTCGCGGCGCCATCTATCCAAGCCCGTTGGCCTTGCCTTTGCCTGAGTAGATCCTGCCGGGATGAGGAGACGCCGACGTCCATGCTATGGGGCACCCATCGATGAGCTTATTTATTCCTCAAGCAATCAGGTACCACATCCAGGGTAGTTATTTTCTAATGGATTTCACAGTTGTTGTCTAATTAACTAGTGCTTCTTGATTCTGTCTAATTAACTAGTTTACCACACGGCGCAAACTAATCAATACTGCTTCACTTGGATTTGTACGCCACTTTATTAATTTACATATTAGATGCGTTTTTTGCTTCTTAGAAACAGAAAAATGGGCCGGCCCAGACGTGACGAGGGGTGTGCGCCCGTTAGTAGAATGAACAGTATCGGGCGCAAAAGGCGCCGAATAGGATTTGGCTCCGCTAATGGCCAATGGTACTTAATTACTCCTGTAAAAAAAGTACATTAAGGCCCAGAAATGTCCGTAGCGTGGACGTACCGAAGCCCACAACAGAGCCCATATTATTAGGCGATGGTGAATTGTGACCTAGCGCAAGCTGTTCAGATCGATCACTGATTCTGCTTGTGCGCCGCTCCCTGCTATGCTCGTCA